CCCCTTGTTTCTGATGGAAAAACAAGTCTGCCTTAGGAAATGCTCATTTCATACCTTGGATTTGGTTTCCCCTCCAGATACCATCTAAGATGGATGCATGATAATTAAAATGTGCAAAAACAGATGTTTCTAGGTCTCAGTCAGGCACTGAGCAAATGTTTTCATGTGTCATTTCTTCCAGTAACTGTGCATGCAAATCACAAGAATGGCATTTCAAATTCCTACGATTGCTGTAACAAATTAGCACAAACTTGGTGGAATAAAACAATGGGAACTTATTACCTCATGTTTCTAAGGGCCAAAGATTCAAGCTCAGAGTGTCAGCAGGGCTGAGCTCATGCTGAAGGCTTGTAGGGCGACTCCTTCCTGGCCTTTTATATCTTCTGGCAGATGCAAGGCTGTTGCTTAGTGTATGGTTGCCTAACTCCACTTCATACTTCTGTCTTCACATGTGTTTCCACTTTTGTGCTTGTCTCTGTGTTTGGGTGTCTCCTATAAGGATGGCTGCCATGGACTTAAGGCCAATACAGATAATCCACAGTCTCATTTTAAAACTTCTTGCTTAATGACATCTGTAAAATACTTCTGCCAAATAGGATCTCATTCACAGACTGAGCGGGTCAGGATATGGATATGCTGCTATTCAACCCATGTACAGGAGAATGAAAGAATAAAAAGCTACATCCTATTCGCTTTAGTAGCAAGTTGTATTTAGGCAATGCTAAACCTGAAATGTGTTGTCCTGGAGAATGGAAGAAGAAAGGAGCCAAGAAATTGTGGAATTCTGGAGATAGTTCTGAAAACCAGCCATGGATTCTTCTCTTTTTGGATCTAGCTCTAACCTCCTTCCAATTTTATTGCAGCAATAAACTTGTTGGGCTTGTTGTCTGTTTCAAGACAATGTTATGAAGGAAACCAGTGTTGACTTGAAATTTTCAATTGCTTCAGTTCGGGAATAAGTGAAAGTGAAGTCTTAGCAATGCCAGTCGAAATTTCCCCGAGCAGCATAAGGTATTTTTATCACTATAAAGAAAACACATTTAACATAATTTGACAATTTCAAAAATCTCCTGTTTTAAAAGCTCTGTCATCCCATATTTATTGGGACATCAAGGAGCTTGGATAACCCTTTTATGGAAGGTTGACTCCATGCACATAATTTTCATGTATAAACCTGAGGCTTGAAATGCGTCACGAGTAGACTCCTACCAATACTTTCTGGTATTATTTTTGCTATTGATCAACAAACTTGTTAAAAAAATCAGTGCTGATTCCATTGACTTATTTGTCATGCTGCTTAGGTTTAACTGTGTTCTTGTTTAAACACTGCTTATAGTCCTTCAGAAGAAATAATCCTTGGATTCCAGGTTGTCAGAGTAAGTGATTAAGGCAAGGAGACATATCCCGCTTTGTTCATTGAGGTCTAAATTGTTTCTTACAGATTTTCTCTTGTCTTTGTGAAATATATGCTTGCATTCCTTTAAAATTAGTCCCAAGTATTAAATTATTTGTTCATTGAATTATTAGCAGTCGCATGCATATGGCAAAAATTCAACAATAATAAGTGTTTCTATTACTAGTTTTGTTACCATCATCGCTGTTGGATAATGGCTTTCTCGGGGCTCAGCTCTTACTCTGCCATTCCTTTCTTTTTGTCTAAATCATTCTACTGTGTAAATCATTACATTTTTGCCTACATTGTTACATTCATGAATGTAATAGAGTGGTGTATTACATTCATGTTATTTTTGTAAATTACTCACTCCTAAGACTCATAGTTTGTGCTCAGCCTTCATCTCACACTTCTAGGATTTGGTTGGCAGGACGGTATGTCTAAATGTTCTTGTCTTTTGATCTCAATCACAGGCTGTTACTTATTTGTGTATTTGCTAGTACCTGAATGATAACTCCTGGAATATATATTCTAGAACTTCTCCTTAAGTGTACTACTTTCATCTATAATCTCTGCTTCCCCAAAAGAAATGCCCGTTTCTAGTCTTTCACACAAACTTGAGACCTGCATTCCAAACTTCCTACTTATAATCTCTACTACGCTATTTCCTTAAACCCAAAGACCTAAATGTTTTTCCTTCACAAGTAACTTTTTACCAGACTCACTTAGTAGGAATAATATGTTTTCAAGCCCTCTAACTTGAAGCCATGAAGAAATTTTGAGGGCAGCCTTTTTCACTAAAAGATGGGATCCTTTCTGATACATGAACGTTCTCTTTGAATATTATATTTTTTTTCTTTTCTTTTTTTATTATTTTTTTCTTTTTAGTTACATTTTGTTAACTCTGTGTCCCAGCTGTATCCCGCTCCCTCATTCCCTCCCCAACCCCACACTCCCTCCCTGGTCTCCTCCCTGCCCCTTTCCAAGTCCACTGATAGAGGAGGACCTCCTCCCCTTTCATCTGACCCTGTTTTATCAGGTATCTTCAGGGCTGGCTGCAAAGTCCTCCTCTGTGGCCTAACAGACTGCTCCTCCCCGGGGGGGGGGGGGGCAAACAGCCTGCCCTTGAGATCCTGTTAGAAATAGTCCGTGTTCCCCTTACTTTGGAAAACTACTTGGTTACTGAGCTACCACGGGCCACATCCGAGCAGAAGTTCTAGGTTATATCCATAGATGGTCCTTGGTTGAGTGTCAGTCTCAGAAAAGACCCTGTGCCCAGATATGTTTGGTCCTTGTAGAGCTCCTATCCTTTCCATATCATACTAACTTCCCTTCTTTCATATGATTCCCTGCACTCTGCCGAGGGTTTGGTTATGAGTCTTAGTGTCTGCTTTGAAACACTGCTAGGTAGAGTCTTTCAGATGCCTTTTGTGGTAGACTCCTGTCATAAGTTCAATGCACATCCCATTTGTCTTTCTAAATGAGGATTAATCACCTTCACCTGTGTCCACTTTCTTGATTAATATAATATAATTCATAATTATATATAAGATACAATATATAATAACTTCCCCAGTGTCAGGTCCTTTCCTTCCTCTTCTCTGTCTTTCATGAAGCATTCATGTATTTCAGTCACACTATAAACCTTTTGCTACTCTGAGGAATTGTTCCCCTCTCACCAGGAAAGCACTTTAGGTGTGTAGATTTCATTATGTTTATCATATCTTGTAGGTCTATATAAGCGAGTATATACCAAGTTTGTCTTTCTCCTTCTGGGATACTTCACTCAGAATGATCTTTTCTAGATCCCACCACTTGCCTGAAAATTTCATGATTTCCTCCATGTTCATAGCAGCTTTATTTGTAATAGCCAGAACTTGGAAACAACCCAGATGTCCATCAACGGAGGAATGGATACAGAAATTGTGGTATTTTTACACAATGGAATACTACTCAGCAATCAAAAAGGAGGAAATCATGAAATTTGCAGGCAAGTGGTGGGATCTGACACTCAACCAAGGACCATCTATGGAATTTGAGGCTTCTAGCATCATTGTGTTTGTCCTCACTATCTTCCTGTCACTGTCAACCTGATAAGTACTTCCACTCTGGACATCCTAAGTGACACACATACAGTTTTTTGTTTTGTTTTGTTTTGTTTCTTAAGATTAGCCATTATTTGTAATGATGTCTGTTAAGGACTATCCTCTGTCATACCTGTAAGGACTTTCATTTCCATACTGTAGAATGGGTTGTAAATGCCTTTCATTCAACTCTAGATAGCATATCTATCAATATGGTAATTCATTAATAAGAATATAAGAGCCTGGGAAGACAAATCAATTGGTAAAATGCTTGCCGTAAGAGGACCTGAGCTTGATACTCAACAACCACATAAAAAAAAGCTGGGTACAGCTGCATACATCTCTAATACCAGTGTTTGGGGAGTGAAAATGGGGAGGGGGTGGGGTGCTAGGAGCTTCTTTGCTAGCCACCCTAGCCAGAATAGCAAGTTCCAGGTACAATGAGAAACATTATCTCTGCATGAGTGTATACAATGACAGAGAGACAGAGACAGACAGACAGAGACCAATAGAGACCGACAGAGAGAGAGAGACAGATGCAGACAGAGAGATATAGACCAAGAGAATAAAAAAGAACATAGTCTTATCAATGTAAATGAGTATTTCTAATTTTCCAATAAATTATAGTTAATAGTGAAATAGATACATGAAAATAGAGATACATGGAGAAGTACAGAGACCTCTGCCACCATAATCATGTCTATTTGTCTATATCAAATCCATTCAGTCTATATAAAAACCTTATCTGTCTTTTAAGAAATATAATTGGACACTTCCCCCCTAATTAAGTAAAGAACTTGCTAAAAACATCATACTCATACATTTCTATTTTACCATAATGTGTCAACTATTACTATGTAGATAGACAACTCATGTTCTTTCCTAGTTTGTCACATTTTCAAATAAAGCTATCTTCATTTCATACTATTTCCCTGAGACATTATGCTAGAAGGACAATTACCAGACCAAAAGTTATAAGCTTTTTTAATAGTTTTCATACTTATTACCAGATTGACTTCCAGCAAATCTGGTTATTCATTCATTTGGGGCTTATACTCAGGGTAATTTATGGTATCAAGAAAAAGAGTTATATCATAAGGAATACTAAGGGCATCTGTGGTCAACTGCCACATTCAGGAACAAGCATCACATTATGAAAAGCTCAACACCACACATGGTGTTCACAAAATGTGCAGAGAACTCAGGTCACAACCTCCCCCACACTCTGGAAATGCAGTGTTTAAACTCATTGCAAACTCAGCAGCCAGCTGGAGGTCTAAGCAGTAATCCCAATTCTCTGTGCTAATGGGGAGTTACTACTGACCTGCACATCTGCGTGTTTAGTTTGGAGATAATTTTTAATAAACTGTTGTCACTTGAAAAGAAACAGTCTGGACAATGTATGGCCCATTTGGGATCCTGAGAAAATAAACAATGGAGGCAATGGCTCCTGCTTGTCTTTGCAGCCATTTCTGGAATGTGCTTTCCGGAGACTTCCTTTTTCTCTGTAGCAGAAGGTTTTACTTAAAAATAATGCTGTTTATTTCACATGTCTTAGAGGCCCTCTTTTGAAGAACCACAGTCATGAATGGCTTTAGACTCTTGCTTCGAAGCAACCAATTCATCCTGCTGCTGCTATTTCTCTTGCATTTTCACAGTCTGGGTCTGGATATGGACAGTCAATCTGCTGCAGAAGTCTGTGCCACACACACAATTTCACCAGGACCTAAAGGTGAGGAAGAAACCTCATATTTTGTATGATACGTAGGACCTCTTCCCTCACCTCAAATCCACCCTAGCTGCTAGGTGACTTCTCTCCCCGTCCCCACTAGTTTTCTCTGACTTCCCATCTATTTTGGAAATCAGTCGACTGTTAGTGTAGGCTTCCTTTGGTAGTGGGGAAGAGAAGGTGAGAATAGGTGGAACCCTGTGTTATGAGTCTGATGGCAATCACTGAGGACAGTGAGAGACTCTTCCATTACATCTAAAGGGAGATAAGGACTCATAGCCACTTTGATTAAACCACCTTTCTTTATTATAAGGCTACAACCCTTCCTCTCTTTTCTCACTCACATTGATTCTAAAAAGAAATTGAGCTAGGAAGTCAAAAACAATTTTTTTTTCCCGAAGTATAGCATACGTTTTGTAATTAATGGTCTCCTAAGTCCCAGTGAGGAAGATTGTTTTTTAATTAAGGATCAAAAGTAGTATATAAATAAATGATTTTTTTCATATATTTGAAAGTGGAATCTCTGAGGTCAGCTGCCTTCAGCTGTAGAATAATAGAATATTGCTTCCCCAACCCCGCCCAAGTAGAGTCAAGGTCTAAGGTCTGAATATGCTTCTAGCACTGGTTGTTGTTTTGTTTTTTAAAATAAATCTGTTTTTTCTGGTTTTAGCTCTTACCGTTTTGTTCTGAAAGTGGTCACTGCACTGCAGATTGGTTCTCTCCTATTAGTAATTTATTCTATGCTTCCCAAGGCTATTGGGTAGAAGAATTGTAGCTGCTTAAAATCTCAAGTAGAAAAAAAAATTTAAAAGAAGAAAGAAAAAACAAAATATGCTCAATTCTTGTCAGTTATTTAAATTTGTGTTCCTTAAAGTGCACTTTTCTTAATCAGTGAATTAATTTTCTCCTAAGATTGCAATCCAACTTCTATAACCTTTGATACCATAAAATAAATGCAAGGAGTTACAGGGAGACCTTGGGGCTTCCAAATAATTTCTTGGGTGAATAAATGAATAATGTAAGGGCAAATGTTCAGAAAGAAGAGTTTTGGTTAGAAATAGTATTTACTTAAATCTATAGCTGCGTTTTTCACAGACTACAAGGAGAATGTGTTTTCCCTGTGGTGTCATGAAGACTGGATATTGAACGTTTTCTCAATTGTGCAACTAAAAGAATCTCGTTGAGTTTTTTCCCCCCTTGAAGAAAAGCTACAATTTTCACAAAGGAATAAGGATGTGCAAGAAGCTCGTAATTAAATACCCTAGACATAATGCATTCTTATGCAACAACTGTATTCCTTCTACTTCAATTACTGGACATTGACTTTATAAAGCCAGGCCCTGTTTTAGGCACAGCAGAACACTAAGTAATATATCAGCGTCATGAGCAATAAAGAGATACATTGTTTGGCATAGGTTTTCTGAGAAGGTATTGAGTTTACTCTCAGACAAGATTCTGCAGAGCAGAGGAGGACAGAATTCGTATAGACAAGAGCAAGACTACAGAGTAAGTTTGAGGAAAGGACTCATTAGGTTTTGCTTTTCAAAGGCTGCTTGCAATACGTAGTAAAATCTTAAATATTTGCAAAATTAGCCAAGTACCGCAGCATTCAGGAGATTGAAGCAGGGAAATTGCAAGCTCAGGGTGACCCTTGTCTGCCTACAGACACCAAATTAATTTAAGAAAAATTGAAAGTCTTTATAAGAAAAAAAAGGTACTACCTTTTAAAAAACATAAACCACTTTATTTCATTTTATCACTTCAATCTATACACAGTGTTTATTGAAAACCAGTACCATCCATGAGCCTTCTCTAGTCATTTCTTCACCTAGTGCAAAGGTGGAATCTGGTCATTAAAGATGCAGATACAGTTTGAAAGCTTGGAAGCCTGACACTCTTCCTGACCTAAGGGAGAGCTGTGAACAGATCATAAGCCATTGTGGAAGGATGGAGATGTGAGTGAGCCTTGAAAGAGGAGCTGAGAGGAGCACATTGAAACACAGTGTTTTAGAACCAGTTACCTTCTCAGTAAAGAGATTCCATGATTCTAGAAGGTGCCAGAATACTTCCAAAGTTCTAGGAACCATGTCAGATGACTTGAGTTTGAATGTAAGATAAGGAACCCGTCCTAGCACTTGTCTTTGTGCAGCAAGCTTGGGAATTGATTACAAGCTGACCTCCTAGCTGACTTGCATCTTTAAGAACTGCCTTCACAGAGCTGCAACCTCAGAGTGTTTGCTACTGTCTTTCCTTCTCTGGGCACAGTATTAGAGGTGGATTCACACACAGGGTACCTTCTTTCAAATGTAAACCACATCTCATTCCAGGTAGAACTATAATTGCCCCTCCCCAACTCCAAGGAAGGCAGGCCTAATCACTGTGCTCCTCACGAGGAAGGAGCATCATGGCCAAGTAGACATTTTAAAGAGCCAAAATATACTTTTTTTTCTTCAGAATCTTTTTATTTTCCTATAATCAAACCGGTGCATGCTTTTCTCCATGGCTAATCATCTCATTTCCATGTTTACCAGCACAGCAGTGCTGTGAGCAGAAATTTCTACATTCTTGGAGAAACAGACAATTAAAGGAACTTAACTCTAAATTTCTTTTGGAGAGTGGAAACTAAATAAATTATTCAGACTTGCAGATGAAACACCAATAATGCTATCCAGATATAGAATATGCTGTTCAACAGACAGACAAGCTTTTCTGCATATTTCCAAAATGCATTCAACTGGAGGAAAAGCATTAGATTCTATTTGAGCTACTCAGGCTTCAGCTTTTTTATTGAAAACAAAACAAAACAAAAAAAAACTGGTCCTTTGTCATACATATTTCTTATTTCTAAGATAAAATACTCACCATAAATTAATCTTGTACAGATACCATTAATGCATTTTTTAACAAATCTGGCTTCTCTTTCTTTTGCCTGTCTCTCAAGTGCACCGAGTTACAATTTTTGAGTCAAGTTACCAAAACTTCTTTACTCAAAGTTTCCATTATATTTCTTTCTACCTGAAATGTTCATTTTATACTGGTTGGCAAGAAATGTTCTTTTTTTAATTTTTATTCCTACCATGGCAGTTTCTTTTAGCAACTTAGGTGAAATTCTGACCTCTGGTGGTTTTAGTTGAAAACAACATGGATGAGAAAAATGAAGAAAAACTTTATAAAGACTTTTAAATTAATAAGAGGCATTTGGAGGCTGCCTACCAAACTGAAAAGAAAAATAGTACATTGTGATGTTTGAGTTACAAAGCATCCATATTTAGCATTAATATCCTAAGCATATACGCAAGAAAAGAATCTTTATGGAGGCCAAGTTGAGTCCTCAAGTTCAGCCAGAGCTACAGTTAGTTCTTCTTGAGCTGCCTTCTTGCCCTCTGGTTTGTATCTAGTCATGCCATGCCATGGTCGTTTGGTTTCACAAGCCAGGATTAGAAAAACAGATCTACGAGATCAGTGTATAACACGGTATAGGAGCATATTGATTAGGTCACCTCTACCTATAAGTTGCCAGTTCTTTGCAAGTGACTTTCACAGAGCACTTCCACAAGTAGCCTGGCTTCGTTAACTTTTATATTCCACGCTGTGGGGGTCTGGAGCCATCTTTTCCTCTCTTGCCTTTGTGTAGATACCAAGAAAACACCTCAAAGCTAGGGTAGGAGGGGAGTATAAAATCCTGATCCACCAAAGTGTAAAGATGAATCAGGGAGTGGTGAATGGTAGTGATTTTAAAAATTATTTCTCTCACTTTTAATAAGGCATACCCCTTATTCTGTACTTCTTCCCAATTCTCTTATGTAATTATTTGGCTATGTACAAATCAATTCCTAGGACCATAACCACAGGCTCTTGCATATTGATAAAACTCATGGGCTTTGGAGAAATATATATGTGATTTGAGCTCTTCAACTTATTTAGCTATGATATCCTAAACCTTTGGTGTCCAGGGCTTTCAAAGAGATAAAAGAATGTCATACACATTAAATACTTATTTTAAAACTAAACCAAATCTAGCATCCAGCTTAGCTATCACTATTTCTGTGTCTTCTTCTATTGCTCTTACTGGTCACCATAAGCTTCTCTTCACTTCCATTAAAAAAAAATATTCATAGGTTTGTTGAATTGTATCTCCAAATATACCTCTACCCCCCCCCAAATTTAAAAATTTAAAAAAAAAAACACCACAGCTTTCTGCCCCCTTTGGAAACTTCATATTAGCTTCTAGTCTCAACCTCAAACACATTTCACTCTTCCATGGCACAAAAACCCAAGGCTCCAGTTTTCATTCACTTATATTTCCCTCTTTCTGTAGTTCTCCAGTTGGATTTATGATCCTTTTATTACTAAAGTGGTAATAATACTGTGTTTGTAATGGGGATTAAATGAACTTCAGTACACACCTAGTCAAAGCCTTGGTTCTCTCACCTGTAACATATAGAAAGGAATTTTTTAACTACTTCATGCTGTCCTGGTGAGGAAGAATGACTTGAGCCACATGAAAGACTTAGTATAATATTGGACATAGCCTCAGGGACATCTATAAATGTGACCAAATAAAAGCTTTAGCAAAAGCCAAAGGAGAATAAAACTGGTTCTTACTTTTTGTTACTTTTTCTTTCTTCATTAAGAAACACATCATCAGCTACTTCCTATCCTAGGCAACAGATTCCATTGTCCTCCAGTCATTGTAGGGAGGTGTAGGCCAGACAACTTGTCTGTCCCTCACTTTTCTTGCTTTAGTCTATGAAACCCAACTTGTATAACTGGTAACTCTTTTAAAGTGCTTTTATCAACCCTCAAGTTCATGCTGTTTTATCTTAATGAGTCTTCTTGTTTTTATGCATCAACTGTTTGATCTGCAATCTTCTATCATTTCATAAAAGTCTTTTAAATAATATTGTATAGCTATTTTCTTTGCTCTTTTAGGAACGAATTGTAAATACAGTCCAACAAAAGCCTGAACTGCAGATACTCAAGTGAAATGGCATCTAAATAAT